AATAAACTACCAAAACACTTCTATTATATGCATTTCCATCCGTATATTCTTTCATAAAAATAGCTTATTAATTTATAACAATTGCTCTTATTACATAGTTATGAGTAGGTGTGTTCTCCTATTTTGCTGGAAGAACCTTATTTTCAGATTTTGTTTTGGTATCAAATGGATAAATTAAATCATGTGCAGATAATTTGACAAATTAGATCTTATATTCATTATATTTAGATAATTTAATCTAAATATCTTTAATTCTTAATTAACTAGTTTAGATTTATTGAATGAGGAGGGTCAATTAAAATTAGATTTCTTCACTTTTTATTTCTTAAAATGTACAATATGGGATGTGCGGTTGTGAGGGAGTCATGTGTACCCTGAGTTTTATTCTTTAAAAAAATTGAAAAATATATATATTTTTTAATAATTAAGATATCATGTTTTAATCAAAATTGTGTATCATTTGGCTAATATGTTCAACATCAATAAATTTTTTAATATTTATTAAAAATTAACGATAATCGGATTGAATTGCCTAAAAGTAATGAACATGAGATCGAATTTTCCATATTAATTATGCAGGGTTTAATTTGCCAATTTAATACGCATGGTCTCAAAGTAGGAATTTTCTAATTTCTTTTGTTAAATTAGTATGTTTCTTTTTTTATTCTAACGAATAAACCCAGACACACATTAAATCTCAAGCTTTTTTATGCGCTTTAAAGAATTTTTTTTCCCTATAGCTTCCAGGGATTCTCAAGCTTTTTGATAAACCTAAGGATGACTTCAATTCACCAAACCAAGGTTCACCTCGTGTAGTGATTGTGGACTCCTACAAGGATATTTATACTTCTAGAATTTATCTTGATTATGGTATTGCCATGTAAGAGTTGTGAGAGTTCTTGATTTTGATACTGCTACGTAAAATTTATGAGATATTTTTTTTAGTTAATAACTAGATTTTTTTATTCGCGCTACGCTGCAGATTGGATAAAATATATAAAATTATATAAAAAAATTATTTCAGTTTAATAATCTGTTTTATGATAAAAAATAATTATAATTTTTAAATGAAAAAATTTTATATTTAACTATTTTTTATTTGTGCTTTTAAATTTTAGAAATAAATAATAAAACAAATAAATTATTGATTTTTTTAAAATTTTAACACCCAATTAATTGTTGGAAATGTATTGTTATTTCTCAGTAATTTCAACAAATCAACGGTTTTACTAGTGTCATTGCCATGGTTGATCATGGAAGGAGAATTTCATTGGTACTTTCGTATCTATTTAAATTTGCAACCAAGGAAGAGAATTTATCAAAAAAATAATAAATAAAATACAACACATGAAATGCCAATGCCAATGCCAAACTATAATAAATAAATAAATAAAAGTAGCATGCTAGAATAGGGTTGTCTTGTTGTAGCTCATGTCTGAGTCAATGTGCATTTGTGAAGTCTCAGTTTGTTTTTCAACTGTGGGGTTATGTCTGTGTTGGTGGGAGAAAAAGGAGCCAAAATATCAAACTAGAAGTCTTAATTCTTTTTTTTTTAATTAAATTTAGAATAATCAATAATAATTAATGCGGAAACAAATAAACATAACTACAATTGATATGTAAATTTTTTATGTAGGAATCTCAATTTGAAAAAAAAAAAACAATACAAAACTATAATCTATTCAAATTTTTTCACTATATCAAGATAATCAGATGTACAATTCTTCACGATGCCTAATCGAAAGTCATTATCATAGAGTGGATTACAACGATAACTAATAATAAAGAAAAAAAAGATCACATCAAATAGGTTTTTCAAAAATAAGTAAAGATTTAAAAAAATTACTGTTCAAATTAAAGAATTCGTCACTAAACACAACATGTCAAATTTTGATTTTCATCAAATTTGAAGTCATGATTCGATCAAGATAATTAAAATAATGGACAATTTTACACACTCTCTCTCTCTTTCACCGCAAAATTTCCATTCTTTAATGTTTAATATTCAAAAACTAGGTTTATAGAGGAGTGTGGAGAGTAGATTTATTGAATAAAGATTCTGCATTAGTTTGTTCATTTAATATATATATATATATATATATATATATATTTAATTAGGACAGGATATTTAAAATTGTCTGCCATATAAGTAAGTTTTTTACATGTTTGCTGAAAATTGAAGATAGATGGACCGAACTGCGTAGATATAATGAACATAATATGTAATTTACTAAATTATCTATACATGGTTTAATTTACCAATTCAATACAAATATAGAGTCTCAAAATAGGATTTTTCTAATAATTATTTGATTAAGTTATAGTATATATAATCCATTTAAAATTAGGTTCGTACGGAAATAATACTGATATTTATATAATATAACATTACATGACATTTTTGTTTCATTCAATAAAATACTGCTTGCTGTAAAGCTATTTATTCCTTCCAGTTTTAGACTTTAAGGAAAATGTTTTTTTTTTTTATCGGCATTTATATTTTTAAAGATTAAGAAATTTTAAGCTGATAAAGTCATTGTTGAAACATAATTAATTAGTAATTTTAAGTGATTGTGATGGTAATTAAAAATATTCGTTTCCTTTCTTTTAACCTTTTTGCATTCAAATTTTGGAGCTAACACCTAGGTGAGGATGCCAATGGATAAGATATAAAACATGTATCTGTTTTATTAGATTTAATAAATACTCGTTAAAAATATCTAATAAGTATTAAAATAGATAAGATAAAAAACATATATATTTGTTAATATGATTTCAGAGTATGAGTATCCATGGATATCCACTTCTTACTCTATTACTTGTTAATTTATTTTGACTTTTTTCAAATATGCATGGTTTAATTGTATTAAATTTAAAAATTAAGGAGCAAGATATTTTTTAAAAACTTTAAGGACCAAAAAAACTTATCAAGAAACAATCAAAATGCTAAAAAAAAAAAAAAGTAATTTCTTGAAGGAGAATGGATAGGATTTTTTTCTCTCTCCTTTTTTACATGAAAATGATAAGAAATTGAATAAATAGATCAGGTACCTGTTCATTGCTATCTCTACACTTAGGTAGAGTGTTCAACGGCTGGAGGGTCGCCGGCCCAAACTAATCACTATTCTTAATGGGCGGGCCTACTTATATTTCACGCCTGTTAGCCCAGCCTGGTCTGACCTGACTTGGCTGGTAGGGGGCGGGCCCCGGCTTGGTATTTTTCACATTGGGCGAGCCTGGCCTTCCCATTTGTTATAATTTTCTAATACATATATATATATATATGGGCACACACACGTGCAAAAAATGAAACCCCAACCAAACTATGACCTATCAGCAGCAACTAAAAGCCACACTTTTCTATTCTCCTCCATTTTGATTGTCTATTAACAACCAAAACACAAAAGAATCATCTGCTTCATCTTCAATTCTGTCCTTCCTCAACGAACAATAAGGCAGCCGCCATCTTCTACTTTTGTCCGCCATCATCCTCAACCCATCCCTACAACAATTGAGCCATCAACCAACAAAAATCGCAACCACCAATAGCTGCAGAAATATCCAAAAACAGCTTTAACAACAATTGAGACGACAATTAAGCTATCATTTTCTTTTGGGTTGTTTTTCGATGTTAAAATTCAGGAAATTTTGAGATTGATCTAATGCGTTTTGGAGACTTTTTTAGCTTTGATGAATGATGATTGTTGTGTGTTGTAAGAATTCAAGAAAATGAAGCACAAAATTTAAATTGGAGCTTCATAATCGGAAAAAAGGTGGCTGGGAATTTGTGTGTGTTTTGTTATTCTTGCTTTGACATAAATTTGAAGGGAAAATGGTGCGGGCGCGTTCCAGAGGATTTTTTTTGGGATAATTATGAGAAAAACACCTACAAAAATCTTATATCTAAGAAACCCATTAATTTATTTTTAAATCTTTCAAATAAAAAATAATATTTTATTTTTATCAAAACACCCAATTGTTAACCTCTAACTTAACAATTGGTAAGAAACTTTTTTAGAGTTTTTTTATCTAATAATAAACTCATTTCATAATTTTTAATGAGTTTGATATATATATATTTTTTTTTATGATCAAGTCAAGTTTTTTTTTTTTATTGCATTTGAAAGAAAAAAAACTTTTGAGGTTCTTTGACTTTTAAACACTAACATTCGACTATTATTTTTTTTATTATACTAAAAAATCCCTTATATTAAAGCTTTTTTTATCGATCATTTGTTTCATTAATCACGAGATTAATTTTACCATATAGTAATTATAGCAACCGAGGCAAGATGAAATAAGACTCTTGTTATTCTTTTATAATTTAATGAAAAGGTTATCATACAAATAAAAAAATAAAAATATGTATGATTATGAACATTAATAATTTCTTAAATCCTAATATATTGATCGAAAAAAAAGGCATCAACGGTAATACTTGTTTTTAATTAATCAAAACTCAATATTTTTTATCAAACAATTAAATTAAATTAAATTACAAGATGAATGTATAACATATTTTAATGCATTAATTAAATAAAACATGATCATCCGTAATAGAAATACATATCTTGAAAGATAATGGTTTCATTTAAAACAGGGATATTTACCAAAATACCTTCAAAAAAATCTTTTAACTAAAAAATTCACTATTTTATTTTTAAATCTTCCAAACACAAAATAATATTTTTAAATCTCACAAGCTTAAAACAATATTTTTCTTACTAAAACAACCAATAGTTAACCCCGAGTGTTAAGTATTAGGTGTTTTTGGTAAGAAAAATATTATTTTGAGTTTAAGAGATTTAAAAATAAATTTGTGAGTTTTTTAGATAGAAGATTTTTTTATAAGGTTTTTCTAATAATTATCCCTATTTTTTTCCTTTCACCTTTTGTTTTTTTAAACGAGCTCTAAAGCCTGACCTTAGGCCAGAAGCCATCGGACTCGGGGTTAAATCAAGCTCGAATTAGCGGGCTGGGCAAGGTCCGATCCAAGAAAAATGGACCGGGCCATAGCTAGGCTCGGCCCATGTCCAGATCCACCTCTAGGAGAGTTTAATATTCCTTTTAATACACCAAGGTGATATAAAATATATTCTTAAAATCATTGCGATTGGAATTTAATTTCGATTAATCTATAAACTGACGTGAGATTACATTTATCATCGAAACGATTAATAATAAAAAAAACAAAAGAATTTTATCATGGAAACAAATAATAATAAAAGGTCAATTTTGATATATATATATATATATATACACACAGACAAAATGCAAATGCAGTTTTCGTGAAAATTGCAGAATTGTGAGCTTCAATAAACTACCAAAACAAGATTACTACATGCACTTCCACGCGAATATTCTTTCACAAAAGTAGTTTATTAATTTAATGCAATGGCTCTTATTATATAGTTCTGAATAGTTGTGTTCATAGTTTATTAGAAAAATCATATTTTGAGATTCTATGTTTGTATCAAATCAGCAAAATTAAATTACATATAAATAATTTAGTGAATTTATTATATGTTCGTTATATTCATAATTTTTGTTATGCATAAATTATAATTTTTTTTAGTGATATCCATGCAAAATGTAGAGGTGGTTGTCTTCTTCTCCTGTAAATATGAAAAGAAACTCCGTATTATTGTGGTAGTTGGTGAGCTTTTCAACTCAATCATAATGAGTTGACAAGTTAGACCTAGTGTAGAAAATTTAGTACTTTTAGATGAGAAAGTATTTCGTGTTATTATTCGTAAGCTCGGAAGAGGGGCTCAGTGTACAGCGAGCAACCTTTAGACAGTTTAGGATTCTTGAGGTGGCTCCTACAGGTTCAGGAAATAACTCTCACCCTCCACAGGAGCGTAGCATTTTGTCCCGTATAGCATTTAGTTATTACGCTAGGCTAGGATTATCTCTTATGCCATTCGTACTTAGGTAAGTCAATGGATACAGTACAAAACGGGTTTTCATTTTACATGAGTTAATAAATATCGATATTCAATGCATATTAAAATAAATAAAGATTAAAAATATTTATCTATTAATTTAATTTCAGGATAAGGATACTTATTTTTTACTTTATTAATACTTATTGATTTATTTTGATTTTTTTATTAATATATGAGGATTCAATTGCATAAATTTTAAAAATTAAGGATCAAAGTATCTTTTTTCAAAAACTTTGAGGACCACAAAAACTTATAAATAAACGACTGAAATGCAAAAAAATAAAATTTAAGGACCAATTTTTTAAAAAAATTATAAACATTAAAATAAATATTTTTAACAAATTATTTTTAGGAAGTATTAAATAAATATTAAATAAATAGATAAATTAATATGAACTGAATAAAAATTCATATGATAGGTTTTTAATAAGTAATGGATATATATATATATATATATATATAGAAAAAAATTAGATCAATAAATCCATCTTTTTCGTAATGCCACCCTTGGATATTCGTAATGCACGGAATGCCCCCTTTTTTTTTTTTTACAAACAAGATAAAAAAAAATTAAATCAATAAATCCATCTTTTTCATAATGCCTCCCTTGGATAGTCGTAATGCACGAATGCCCCACCCTAAAGGCGGGGCAAGGGTGCTCGTAATGCGCGGATATGTACGGAATGCCTCACCGTGGGGTGGGCCAAGGAGACATGTACGGCATGCCTCGACCAAGTGAACTTCAAAAAGTTATTAGTCTAACTTTTAAGCTCAATTCAATGTAGTGAACTTTAAAAGTTAGACTAATAACTAATGCCTCAACCAAATGCACTTCAAAAGTTAGTGGCACCAAATGAATTTCAAAAGTTATTAGTCTAACTTTGAAGTTCACTACTATGTAGTGAACTTCAAAGTTAGACTAATAACTAATGCCGCAACCAAGTGAACTTCAAAAGTTAGTGGTACCAAGTGAACTTTGAAGTTCACTACTTGTAGTGACCTTCAAAGTTAGACTAATAACTAATGCCTCAACCAAGTGAACTTCAAAAGTTAGTGGCACCAAGTGAACATCAAAAGTTATTAGTCTAACTTTTAAGTTTACTACAAAGTAGTGAACTTCAAAAGTTAGACTAATAACTGATGCCCCAACCAAGTGAACTTCAAAAGTTAGTGGCACTAAGTGAATTTTGAAGTTCACTACTTGTAGTGACCTTCAAAGTTAGATTAATAACTAATGCCCCAACCAAGTGAACTTCAAAAGTTAATGGCACCAAGTGAACATCAAAAGTTATTAGTCTAACTTTTAAGTTTACTACAAAGTAGTGAACTTCAAAAGTTAGACTAATAACCGATGCCTCAACCAAGTGAAGTTTAAAAGTTAGTGGCACCAAGTGAACTTCAAAAGTTATTAGTCTAACTTTTTAAGTTCACTACGAAGTAGTGAACTTCGAAAGTTAGATGAACTTCAAAAGTTAGACTAATAAAGTTATTTGGTTCGATTCCTAGCTTGCATTACTTATTTGGAATTTTTAAAGTTATCAAAACATATATATATATATTATTCCAACTACCTCAAGAATTAGAAGCTTGACCAAATCCCCAATATCATCAATAAAAATGGCTGACGAGAATGGCAAATTAATCCCACTCCTAAGCACATCTAGCTTGAAAAATTTATATACCTTTTTAATCATACAAGGTACTAACCAAAAGAGGTGTTTCAAAGCACCTATCAATAACGAAGTCCTTGGAACGTTTGCCAGATTCCAGAGGCAAACATGTCGTGGTTATTTTTGGTCCTTTGAGTGTTCCGTTGGCCAAAAAAAGCACCCAAGCCAAAGCCAGTTTAGATCAAGTTCTATGTATAAAAGACATGATCAAGTACACAAGAATGTTTAGTAGAATAGTTGTGTACTTAGTTAATTTTTCTAATACAGTAAGACTCGAGGTTTAATGATTTTAAGTTTTTTTTGGTAATTATGTAATGGGAGAATGTTATTTCTCATTATACAGCCCAAAAACTCATGAAACTCCAATGAATAAATAAATAAATAAATAAAAAGACGTGATCAAGTTATTTTAGCCCAATATAAAATACAATAACATCTTAAATTATTATGAAATTACGAGGACCAATTAAAAATTTAAAAATATGGAGAAAACCCAACTTTATACTCAAAATGCTTAATTAATAATTAGAAACAAAATAGTTAAATTAAAAAGCTTTTAAAATTGGATAAATGATATTAAAAAAAAACTCATAACCAAATTGATCTAAACTAAATTGTGAAATTAATATGTTCATTTACTAAAAATTAATCATGTCTTTTATTTTATATTTTTTTCTCTAATTTTTAAAGCCTTTTGGGTACAATGGATAGTCTTTATAATGTTTATTTTAACAATAATGAGAATTTTTATCAAATTTTAGATGGTGTTCATAATTTTGAACAAAGTTAGTATAATTTTTTCACAGTTCAAGTGGATCTTTTATCGCTAAGTATTCGGTTTTCAAATCCTCATAGTGATGATGACGAAGGAAGATCATTGCCTTAGCGGGGTTATATAAGGAAGACCATTACCATTTAAATGTATCTCAACATCAAGCACTCATGATAAATAATTCTTGCTCAAATGTCAAGGGCCACAAAATCAAGCTTTGTAAGGTTTGACATGATAAAAATTCTATAATACAAGATATAATACTAATGTTAAAAAATAAAAACAAACATAATAGTAAAATTCAAACTTCTCAAAACAACATGCATTAGATTATTAGAATATATATTAGATTATTCAAGTTTTTTAGATATATACTATATATACCATTAGATTTAAAGTAAAAGGTAAATTAGATACGCACCTCTTAATAGTTTAGATGATTTGTGTCGTTTGGTAGAGCAATTGTGCTAATAACGTGTTATAAAAGAAATAGAAACAATAGGAGAATTGAAGAGAAAAATGATAAGAAAAGAAATTCACTATATAATAAAGTGAATACAAGTTATAAGAACTTCAAATTATTCTTTTAATCTCTTTAAAAACTTATCCACAAACTAATGAACGATCAAATCTATTTATAGGTTTTAAAGCCGAGAAGAGAATTGAAAGAGACCATGAGTAATTAAGAGTAAATAAATTATTAAATCAATTGCATCATCCTTTCAATTTCTCATATTAAAGGATGGATTGAATCACATTAAGAATTATGAGTAATGGAGATATGAAAAATATATAAACATTTATTATTTCATAATAGTACTAATATTTATTTGCTTAAAATCAAATTAATTGTATATGGGTTAATTTAATAAACATAAACTCCTATGATAAAGCTAATGTTATTTGAGTTGATAATTTGAAAGACAAATTAATATTTGACTACAAATCAAATTAATTGAACAAGAATTATTATTAAAAACAAATTGCACAAGAGTTATTATTAAAAACAAAATCTTGTAACCAGGTACACTTTTTCTATCACTCTTTTTCTTTATAAATTAATTCAGTGCTTTTTTTCCTTTTGAGAATCCCTATAACTGCTTTTTAATTACAAACAATGTTTCTAATACATCCTTATATTTTGTTTTATTGAATTAAATCTGTGTGTTCATTAATTATTATTTTTTTATCTGATACAAATTCTTCATAACCTACCGATGTGGGATATGAACATCACACTATCTTCATAAAAAAGGAAATGTTTCGGCTTTTGCTAAGAAGCAGTGGTGTATATACGCCATGAAGACAAACAAACAAGCCGTAAAATCAAATCCGATCACCTCTTGGTTATCCCAGGTTTGCATTACTAATTTGGAATTTTTATAGTCATCAAAAAAGAGATTTTTTTTTTAAAGTATTCCAACTACCTCGAGGATTAGAAGCTTGACCAAACTCCCAATATCATCAATAAAAACGACTGAGGAGAATGACAAATTAATCCCACTCCTAAGCACATCTAGCTTGAAAATTTATATACCTTTTTAGTCATCGAAGGTACTAACCAAAACAGGTGTTTCAAAGCACCTATCAATAACAAAGTCCTCAAAATGTTTGCAGATTTCAGAGGCAAACATGTCGTGGTCATTTTGGACCTTTGAGTGTTCCATTCGAGGAAAAGGAGACCCAAAGCCAGTTCTTTCTTCCTAGAATTGGCTTCCAGTAGTTCGTTTCAAACAACTTATATTTAGCCACTTTAGATCAAGTTCTATATATAAAAGACATGATCAAGTACACAAACATGCTTTAGTCTAACTGTTTAACTTCTCTAGTAAAACAAGATTGGAGTCCTAATGACTTTAAATTTTTTTGATAATTACATAATGATAAAGAGTTATCTCTCATTGTGTAGCTCAAAAACCCATAAACTTCCGATGAATAAAAAAAGAAAGAGGCATGATCAAGTTATTTTAGCCCAATATAAAATACATCAACCTCTTAAATTATTATGAAATTACAAAGATCAATTAAAAATTTAAAAATATGACAAAACCTCAACTTTATACTCAAAATGCTTAATTAATAATTAGAAACAAAATAGTTAAATTAAAAACTTTTAAAATTGGATAAATGATATTTTAAGGGAAAAAAAACTCAAAACAGAATTGATCTAAACTAAATAGTGAAATTAATATGTTCATTTACTAAAAATTAATCATGTCTTTTTTATATATATTTTTTCTCCATTTTTTAAAACCTTTTGGATACAAAGGACAGTTTTTATAATGTTTATTTTAACAATAATGAGAATTTTTTTTTTAATCAAATTTTGAAATTTTTAGATGGTGTTTAGAATTTTGAACAAAGATGGTATAATTTTCAAGTACTGTTTGGTGTCCCTCGGAATCTTCAATCCAAATAGCATCTCTATATATTGATTATATAATGATTAGAAGTTTGGAAGTTGGTCACATACGGATCAATCTCCCTGTTTACTTTATTTTCAATAAATAACACTTTTTGGATGACGCCCAGGCCGCCTTTGATTTATGCTCGAAATCTTTTGAGTGGATCCAAGTGCTTAAGCTTGCATTGATAACAATTCTTTTTGCTAATTGCTGTACCAACAACGATAAATATGGTTTTAGTCAATCCCAATATATATATATATATATATATATATATAAAGAAAGTGGGCCAAAGCCCTAAAGAATTACAAAGTTATCACGGGAGTTAGATCCTGCAAATTTTAGAGAATCAAAATGAATTTAAAGAAAAAAAGGATTTCAACCTCTGAAAATAAGTGTAGTTTACTAACTAATGCACACATCGGGTTTTCTTACGATAAATACGATTAAGACGGACATTTCTATAAGGTTGCAAGAAAATAAAAAAAAATTCCATTTCTGTCAATAAATTTGTAATTCAACTAACACTAACGTAATTGCTAGTCTGGGAATTGAGGTTTTTTATAACAGAGTTCAATCGGTCTTCTATCCTTCACTAAAACCCTTAAAACCTTTAAATCCTTTTGTTCATTGAGGTTTATTGTACTCTATCTCAGTTTAGGATAATTTATAATTTATAATTAATGCTCTTGAAAGGTATAATTAATAATCCACGTGCAAAAGCACATGTTGCATCGCAAGTGTACTAGTTTGTCCCCCAAAACGCAAGGTGGAAACCCGCTTGTTGATAAATATAACCCGCTTGTTGATAATTAATGCTCTTGAAAGGCCGCCTTTGATTTATGCCCGAAATCTTTTGAGTGGATCCAAGTGCTTAAGCTTGCATTGATAACAATTCTTTTTGCTAATGCTATCCCAACAAACACAACTATTCTTTTAGCCGATCCCAATATTTTAGCCTAGTGATTTATCTCCCAAAACCTGTTAACTTATTTTTAATAAACGATACTTCTTGAATACGCTCTATTGTAACGTCCAAACAGGGTTTGATTTACGCCCGAATTTTTGTGTGGATCCAAGTGCTTAGGCTTGCATTGATGACATTCTTATTTCTAATGCTGTACCAACAACGATAACTATGGTTTTTTATAACAGAGTTCAATCAGTCTTCTATCCTTCACTAAAACGCCATAATTAATAATCGCCTAGCCATTCAACCTTCCTTGCCGACATTTGCTAGTTTGGTAATTGAGGTTTTTTATTTTTTAAATATTATGGGTTTGGGTAAAGAAAAAACCTCAAATGACAGGGAGAATCTAAACAGAATAAATGGCTGCTGTACAAGCACCTTAGTTGACTCAGTTTTGTTGTTAGCTAAGAAAATGCATGGGCAGCAAGCACTAAGGTTGACTCAGATTTTGTCGACTAAGAAAATGGGCAGCCCAAAAATGGTCATTTTAATACCTAATTTTGTTAATTTAATAACCATAGTTAAAGAACAAATCTCATTTTTAATTGTGGGGTAATGTCTAAGTGGGCCTATAAACTTATGCTCTTTGCCTTTATTTTTATTTGTGTGGTCATGTTTGTGTCAGTGTGGATGAGTCATAGTCTTTTTGATAAAATTTTTCGAATGTTATAATCTTCGTCAATAAAATGCCAGTGCGGATTTATAGATTTAGTTACGTCACCCACTAACACCATCTGGCGTCGCGTAGCAAATCCCCTGTATGGATATATAAGAACGTACAAGCCTTTTTTTCCTTCAATTAAGAACATCAAATTGAATCTTCCACTTAGAATTTTCATATTTCAATTTCTTGCTCACAACCAATGGCCTTTTTCTTCAAGCCACTCACCAAAACAGACGTTGCAAAAAACCTTTCAGTCCCAACAATTTTTTTGAAACATTTGCCGGATTTCAAAGGCAAACGGGCTGTGGAAATTCTAGCCACTGACGAGAGTGGTCACGTTTGGAACTTTAGCTGTTCCATTCGCCGAAATGGACATCCAAAGCCAGTTTTTTCTCCCAAGAATTGGCTTTCATTCGTCCGTTTCAAGGAACTTAAAGTTGGCGACAAGATCAAGCTCTGTAAAGAACATGATCATGTTACTGGAGCCCAATATAGGATCGAAGTCAAGAGAGCAGTCCGACTCTTTGGTGTCATTATAGGTTAGTCTCATAAGATAATACATATTGATCAAAAAATATGTTGTGAGGTATATGCTGTTGCTTTTGTCAGTTTAATTTGGCTAAATAAGGGAAGCTTCCTGGCTGGTACGTGCTTCTTCTAGCCAGCATATTGTGCATGCTTCTGCAGTTTAAGTTAGAGTTCTATGGGGATTTTGTTGTTGATGATTGGTACTACTTATGCATGAATCTTGGTCATATGTTGGTCAGAGGTAAAAATATTAACCACCAAACCTTTGGAGAAATAGTTCTTTTGGGGGGTTTTATGGTGTTTGAAAAACTATGTATGCATGCATTTTCAAGAAAAGTTCTATAATTTACACTACTATTTTGTTGGATGCTTATGTTCATTAAATATCATTCTGGAAATGGCCGCAAAAAAATCTGATTTTTCTTGCACAACGAGGAACTAGAGGATTTATGAATCCTAATTCAAAAATAGAAAATTTTGTATCAAATTCTATAAAAATAGACATAAATCTATAAATATGTGATGTTGTTTGAGTACCAACGTGATCTAATTAAATCATCAATAAGTTCTCAGACCATCTTATAAAATCTTCTTAATGTGGGCCCCGCTGGAACATTTAGGAAAATTTACTAGTGTCATTGCCATGGTTGATCATAGAAGGAGAATTTCATTGGTACTTTCGTATCTATTTAAATTTGCAACCAAGGAACAGAATTTCTCAAAAAAAAAAAAAAAAAAATCATAAAGAGCAGTCCTACTCTTCGGCGTCATTTCAGGTTAGTCTCATAATACAATACATATTGAGCAGGAAATATGTTGTGATATATATGTTGCTGCTTTCGTCATTTTAGCTAGCTAGTTCGTACTTTTTCTAGCCAGCATATTGTGCAAGCTCCTGCAGTTTAAGTTAATTAGGGTTTTAGAGGTCTTTCGTTGTTGACGATTGGTACTAATTATGCACGAATCTTGGTCATGTATTGGTAGAATGTAAAAATATAAACCACCAGATCTTAGAGCGATGGTTCTTTTGGGGGTTTTATGTTGTTTGTAAAAATATGTATAAATCCATTTCATGGAAAGTTCTATAATTTCCACTATTACCTGTGTTTTTGTGTGTGTATATATATATATATCCTATGTGGTGCCAAAATTTCCCCAGCCTAGCCCATGCCAAGCAAGCCATTGTTGTTGTGACACAAAGACCGTGCCAGTAACGTCAATATGCATTGGGCCTAGACTGTACATGGACCAGCCCACTCATTTTTATCCAACTAGTCTATTTTGAGACAGGAATTATTGAGCACATAAGGAACTATACTCCTCGCTTTCAACAATTTTTGAGACCCATAAATTATTTTCACAATAAATCTTATATTTTTGTGTGAGAGAGAAATATAACTCTTAATATATCCAATAAATTTTCATTTTGATCTGGAAAAATCGAACCACTCGATGTAAACTCTTAAATTCTTTTGATCGTTGAGGTTTATTATCTCTCTCTCTCTCTCTTACTAAAGGTAAGTATTTTGCTTTAATTTTTAACATTTCGATTAAGTTTTTGGTTAACTGAACTTGCCAAAAATTAAAAAAATTGACTCTGAACCAAATTTTTATTCTGTTTTTTTTTTTTTTATGAAATTGAAATTTTTGTTTCGGTTAAAATCATTTTTAAAAAAATAATGCAAATAGGTCAAAAAATTGTGTTATGGACCGTAAAGTTCTTCTAGTTCAAATGATCTAAAGTAGCCTATATTAAAGATAATAAATATTTATTTAAATAAAATTAAAGTACAAAATCATACCACATAATAAGACATCAAAATTTTTTAGTTGTAAGTATACTAATTCACGTCTAAAATATATAATGATAAAAAATGATTAATTATTCAAATATGTTGTAAATAAAACCAACAAAATTCAAATAACAATAAAAAAATTCAAACATGTTCTAAAAAATCTTTTTAAGAAATTGGTTTGTTAAAACCTCAATTAAAATTTTTTTAAAATAAACCGAATCAGAAGAAAATAAAGTAAATTTAATTTTTTTAACCAGATTTAATTAAAAACTAAACTGATTTAATATTTTTGTTTTGTTCGATTGGATTAAACAATACCACTGATCACTCCATCTCTGGCCCGGTAGCCAAAGCTCCTCTCTTTCCTTGCATAAAATGCACAGACACTCTTTCATCCATATATCTTATATGCCCAAAAACAAAATGGCCATCGATGTAAAAATAAATCCGAATATCTTATCATTTATGCCTAGCTCGCCAAGTAACGTTGCTATCTAACCCACCAACAACCGTGAAACAAGCTATTTTATATTTTTTTATTAGTTGATCTATATTGTCTCTTTTCCTTTGTTTTTAATTGTGGGGTTATGTCTGTGTGTCGAGGTGAGTTTATAAAATTATATTATTTTCTTTTGTTTTTAATTTTGGGGTTATGTTTATGTGGGTTTATAAACTTGTACTCTTTTCCTTTATTTTTAATTGTGGGGTAATGTTTGTGTCAATGTAGATTTATAAAGTTATAGTAGACATTTATGTCAAATCTTTCTAATTTTATGATCTTATCATTATTATTTTAGTTAATCTTTGTGTGTGTGTGTGTGTGTGTGTGATATGAAGGATATATTTAATCAAGGGGTATAATTGCATTAAATCAATTTGAAATTGGAAGCTAATAGGAGCCAAATTGAATAAAAATTCAGAACAAATTAAGGGCATATTGAAGGAATCAAAAGACACGATTGAAAAATTCAAGAAGCTTGAGAACTGATTTGTTACTCCACGTTAGAGACAATGAATGTTCATTCACTATCTCCTGTGTTGGAAAATTGGGAATGGTTTCAATGTTTCTTGGTTTTCTAACTATTTTGTATCCTTCATTCAGCTTATCGATCCTTCATTCAGCTTATCGATCCTTCATTTACTTAGTCCGTAAGTTACGCTATAAAAATTAGAGATGATTAAAACGTCGGGAAATAAGAGAATGGAGAGAGAGAGAGAGAGAGAGTTTTGATTGAATAATTGACAATAACGAAACGAGAGGGAAAATTGGTTTTGGACTTTTGGTAAGCAGAAATTGAATATTTGTTTTGAAAATAAATTTTAAAGATGAAAAAACTTTTTTTTGAAAATTATAAGGTCTAAATAGAATATTTTGATAAATCATCTTTAATAAGTATTAAATTAGTAATAAATAAACGAATAAAGTAATATAGACTGAATAAAAATTTATATGATGATTTTTTAATTAATAATAAGTATAATATTTTTTTATAAATAAAATAAAAAATTAAATTAATTAATCGGATATCAATCCATTGTGATTCTCACCAAGTGGAAAGGAAAGGTCGGATGTGCGCTGAACAATCTCTGGGGCTACAAGTGCGATATTGAGTTGGATTTGTTTGTCCACGCTACCTAATTAGAATTCTTCGTTGCATTTAGGTTCATTTTATCTAAAATCAAATTCCTTTACAGAGCATCAGAATCATTCTCTCCTTAACTACAGGGTATTTCGCTCTCGATCACACCACAATCTATTATTCTAGCATTTTACCGCCTTAGAGAAATCTCGTTACGCACGGGGTCGCTAATTATTGTTATTTTTTCTTATCGGATACGAAATCTTTATAACCTACCGATGTGGGATATGGACATCACACTATCTTAATAAAAAAGAAAATGTTTTGGCTTTTGCAAAGGTGCTCTGGTGTATATACAGCATGAAGACAAACAAACAAACCGTAAAATCGAATCCGGTCACCTCTTGGTTCGAACCCTGGCCTGCATTACTTATTTGGAATTTTTATAGTCATCAAAACAGAGAATTTTTTTTTTAAAAAAAAAGTTTTCCAACTACCTCGAGAAAATGCCCACTATCATCAATAAAAATGGCTGAGGAGAATGGCAAATTAATCCCACTCCTAAGCAAATCTAACTTGAAAATTTTATATGACTTTTTAATCATCTAAGTTACTGACCAAAACTGGTGTTTCAAAGCACCTATCAAGTACTTGGAACGTGTGTCGAATTCTAGAGGCAAACATGTGGTGGCTATTTTAGGACATTTGAGCGTTCCATTCGCCAAAACAAAGGCACCCAGAGCCAGTTCTTTTTGAGTGTTCCATTCGCCATAAGAAAGGCACCCAGAGCCAGTTCTTTTTTTCTAGAATTGACTTTCATTAGTGCATTTCAAACAGGTTATATTTAGCCACTTTAGATCAAGTTCTATATATAAAAGACATGATCAAGTACACAATCATGTTTAGTCTAATAATTGTTTACTGGTTAATTTTTCTAGTAAAGTAAGATTTGAATCTTAGTAATTTTAAATTTTTTTGGTAATTATATAATGAGAGAGGGTTGTCTCTCATTGTATAACTTAAAAGTCCATGAACCTCCGATGAATAAAAAAAAAGAGAGGCATGATCAAGTTATTTTAGCCCGAAATAAAATACAACAACCTCTTAAATTATTATGAAATTGCAAAGACCAATTAAAAATTCAAAGATATGACAAAACCCCAACTTTATACCAAAATGCTTATTTAATAGGTAGGAAAAAAATAGTTAGATTAAAAACTTTTAAAATTAGATAAATAATATTTTAACAAAAAAAAAAAATCAAAACAGAATTGATCTACACTAAATTGTGAAATTAATATGTTTATTTCCTAAAAATTAATCATGTCTTTTTATTATATATTTTTTCTCTAAATTTGAAAACCTTTTGATACAAAGATAGTTTTTATAATGTTTATTTTAACAATAATGAGAATTTTTATCAAATTTTGAAATTTTTAGATGGTGTTTATAATTTCGAACAAAGTCAGTGTAATTTTCAAGTACTCTTTGGTGTCCCTCGGAATCTTCAATCCAAATAACATCTTTATATATATTTTTTAAAAATAAAAAAATAAAAAAACTAGGGTGTTGACTGTTCATTTACTGTTCTTTGGTTTTTCTGTTATTTTTTTTGAACTTTCATGGGCAATAATATGAAAAGTTATACAAATTTTTATACTTTGATCCCTGATATTTTTTACTTTTTTTTGTTTCAATCCATATCTTCATTTGTTGATATATTTAGTCCTTAAGTGTTGAGAGGAGGGAGAGAGAGAGAGAGAGAGAGAGAGAGAGAGAGAGAGCATCGGCCAACCATGTTTAGGCCACTTTGGCTAGAGAAACTTCATTAATTTTATTATTTTTTATTTTTTTAGGGATGAGTTTGTTTATAATGTTTTTAAGTGCTTAAATAATTGAAGGACGTAGATCGAAGCAAAAAAGAAAAAAAAATCTAATTTGATTATGTATTTTTTTATTTTAATATGCATTAAAATAGTTTTTAAGACATCAAAAGTGTTTATTGACTTTATTTCAATAATTTAGAGATGTTTAGGAGAAAAAAATAACAGTCAAACTTGAGTTTTTTGAAATCTAAAAATTGAATCCCAATTTTTCGATAAGCTTGAGCTCGCCGAAAGTTACAAGTTGTTTTTTATTTTTTTTTTTGGTCTGGCCTGACTGCAAATGCCTAACCTTTCTTTCTTTGTTTTTTTTTTTTCTTGGGCTGGCAAGCAGCCCAGGCTTGGAGTGGAGAAGAAGGCTGAAGCAGCCTTGGCACACAAGCCCAACCAAGCTAGGTTGGACTGGCTGCACATGCCTGAATTTTTTTCCTTTTTTTTCTCCCGATAATTTATTTTTATATTTTTTATTATAAAATTAGATGTACAAATATAGAAAATAAAATATATCATTATTTTTTTATTTTTATGTATAGTCTGAGGTAATAAAATATTTATGATATTTTTTATATTTTAGTTTGAATATATCTATTATTTTTATTGTTTAAAATTTATTTTTTCAATTGTTTGTTTATTATTAAAATTCTTATCCAATTAATTTTTTTCATTTTTTATTTGTTAATTTTTTTTAAAAAAATAGATTTTGAAACAAATCTTTAGAACATTATTTTTTAAAAAATACATATTATTATAATTTATATAATTGATTTTTTTATTTTTAAATGAGAGTAGTATAGTTACATTTACAAATTCCGATGAAAGAGAGAGAGCTAAAAATGTGTTTTAGATAATTTTACTTGATTTTTTTTAAAAAAATTAATAATTAGTTAAAACAGAATTTGTAGATGTTATTTGCTTATATATATAGTTTTGTTAAAGTTAATTATATGTCCGCACATATAACATTAATTAATTGTTATTAATCTTTTTCATGGTCTAAAATCTATATTTTTAAATAAAATAATTTAATTAATGTTTTGAAAGAATCGTCCCAATTATTCAAATACATGTTTTTATGCTAATATTATAAATTATTTTGTTAATATATATATCAAATAATTTCATTTTATATATAGATTCAATTTGCATTAATCATTATCAATAAAACTTTTACTCACACTACATTATATGAATCACTAACCTTACACATATAACGGTTGTTTGATCGTAGTGTAACGTGATTATCTAACTTATTGATTCTATAATGATTAGAGTTTGTAAGTTGGTCACATGCAGATCAATCTCCCTGAACCTGTTTACTTTGTTTGCAATAAATAACACCTTTTGGATTTGCTTTTGGACAACGTCCAGACCGCTTTTGATTTATGCCTGAATCTTTGAGTGGATCCAAGCGCTTAGGCTTTGCATTGATGACATTCTTGTTGCTATTGCTGTACCAGAGACGGCTGTTCAATTCCAACATGCGGGGATGGTTGTCTTCTACTCCTGTAAATATGAAAAGAAATTCCATATTATTGTGTAACCGGTGAGCTTTTCAACTCAATCATACTGAGTTGGCACGTTAGACCTAGTTTAAAAAATTTAGTACTTTTAAATGAGAAATTATTTTGTGTTACTGTCTGTAAGCTCGGAAGAGGGGCTTGATGTATAGTGAACAACCTCTAGACACTTTAGGATTCTAGAGGTTGTTGTGTTACTAATCGAATAGAGTGAGATTCGTAATTAAGAAATTTGACAAAAATAACGATATTAAACACACATATTTTATATGAAAAATTCTTAAACAAATTAAGTGAAAAAACCACGAACAAAATAGAAGGATTTTAAATAAATTAAGTAAAAATACTAAGGACAAGATGAATTGGGCCTGGACTGTCCACGGGCCAGCCTACTCATTTTCATCCAAGTAGTCTATTTTGAGAGAGGAATTATTGACTATATTAGGAACTACACTCCTCCCTTTCACAAAATTTTGAGACCCATAAACTATTTTCGCAATAAATCTTTTTTTTTTTTTGAGGAAGCGAAATATAACTCCTGACATATCAAATAATTTTTTTATTTTGATTTGGGTAAATTCAACCGCTTGCTGTAAACCCTTAAATTCTTTTGTTCATTGAGGTTTATTGTCTTTTTCTCTCTTATTAGAGAAGAACATTCGCTTTTTTTGTTTTGATTTTGAAAATTTTGATTCAATTTTTGGTTAACCAAAAACAAAAAATAAAAAATAAAAATTAAAAATATAAAAAAAATTAATAATGTAAATAGATTAAAAACAAATCGTGTTATAGACTGTGAAATTCTTTTAGTTCAAAAGATCTAAACAAGCCTATATTAAAGATAATAAATATTTGTTTAAATAAAACTAAAGCACAAAATTATACCACATAATAAGATGTCAAAATTTAACTATAAGTCTACTAATCCACATCTAAAATATATGATGATAAAAAATCATTGATTGTTTAAGTATGTTGTAAATCAAACCACCAAAGTTTATACAACAATTAAAATTTCAAATATATTCTAAAAAATATTTTTAAAAAATTTGTTTGTTAAAACCTGAACTAAAAATTTTAAAAATTGAACCGAATTCGAATAAAATAAAATAATTCATTTTTTTGGTTTTAACTAAATTTAATTAAAAACTAAATCGAATTAATATTTTAGTTTTGATGGATTCGATTAATCAATTTTAATTCAATACTACTTACTCAATCTCTAACGCGATAGCCAAAGCTCCTCTCTTTCTCTGAATAAAATACACAAAACTCAAAACATTCTTTCATACATACATCATATATGCCAACAATGTAAAAGTAAATCCCAAATATCTTATCATTTAAGCCTCGCCAAGTAATGTTGCTGTCTAACCACACCAACAACCGTGAAACAAGCTATTTTATATTTTTTTTATTAGTTGATCCATATCGTAAAATTGACAAATAAATACTTTCATGTCAAAAAAGGTAAATGAATACTTTATTCCCCCCCCTCTCCCTATATGGCTATATCCATGCATCCATCGTTGTACAGTTGGTGTTTTGAAATTTTTTTCTTCTGTAGAAATCCACAACTACATATAAAAATAAAAAAAGCATACGTCCAAATATTAATTTTATTTTAAATTAAATCTTTACACTATTTCTCGCTGAAATGGTATTCTATCTCTATTTATGATAATTTATAATTTTTTATTGTTGCTCTAGAAAGGTATAATTGATAATCCACGTGCAAACGTGTTGCACAATTGCACTAGTTAAAAAATATATATATACAAATTAATGTTTGTATGAATGAGGATTTATAAAGTCATGACAGTCTTTTGACAAAATTTTTCTAAGATCGTAATCTTTTCGTCAAGTTTGCGTCACGCAGTAATTCCCCTGTATAAATATTGATGGAACAGAACGTAAAAGCCAACAGCTAATTAAGCACATCAAATTGAATCTTCTACATACAGTTTTCATATTTCAATTTCTAGCTCACAACCAATGGCCATTTTCTTCAAGCCATTGACCAAAACAGACGTTACAAAAAACCTTTCAGTCCCAACAAAGTTTCTGAAACATTTGCCTGATTTCAAAGGCAAACGGGTAGTGGAAATTCTAGCCACTGACGAGAGTGGTCACGTTTGGAGCTTCAGCTGTTCCATTCGCCGAAATGGGCACCCAAAGCCAGTTCTTTCTCTCAAGAATTGGCTTTCATTTGTCCGTTCCAAGGAACTTAAAGTTGGTGACAAGATCAAGTTCTTTACAGAACGTGATCATGTTACTGGAGCCCAATATGGGATTGAAGTCAAGAGAGCAGTCCGACTCTTTGGCGTCATTTTAGGTTAGTCTCATAAGAAAATACATATTGAGCAGGAAATATGTTGTGATATATATATGCTGCTGCTTTCGTCATTTTAGCTAGCTAGTTCGTACTTTTTCTAGCCAGCATATTGTGCAAGCTCCTGCAGTTTAAGTTAATTAGGGTTTTAGGGGTCTTTCGTTGTTGATGATTGGTACTAAATATGCACGAATCTAGGTCATGTATTGGTAGGAGGTAAAAATATAAACCACCAGACCTCGGAGCAATGGTTCTCTTGGGGGTTTTATGGTTTCTGTAAAAATATGAATAAATCCATTTCATGGAAAGTTCTATAATCTACGCTATTTGGTTGGATGCTTTTGTTTATTAGATATCATTCAGGCAATACCCACAAAAAGTCTGAATTTTTTCAAATCCTAGTTCAAAAATAAATAATTTTATATTTAACTATATAAGAATAGACATAGATCTTTGAAGAGACAATGTTGTTGGATAATCAATATGACCTAAATCATTAACAAGTTCTCCAAACGAGTTATAAAGTTATTCTAGAGTCTTTCTGCTAATTGAGACCATAAGAAAACTTTTATACATCATTTTTAGAAGTCAAATTGAATTTATTTTGATAATTTAGAGATGTTTGAGAGAAAAAAATAATACCAAAATTGAGTTTTTTGAGATCTAAAAATGGAATCCTATTTTTCGTCGAGTTTGAGCTGGCCCGAAAGTTACAGGTTGTTTTTTTCTTTTTTAGTCTAGCCTGACTGCAAATGCCTAGCCTTTCATTTTTATTTTTTTCCCTGGGCTGGCAAGCAGCCCAGGCTTAGAGTGGAGAAGAAGGCTGAAGCAGCCTTGGCTCACAAGCCCAGCCACGCTGGGTTGGACTGGCTGCACATGCCTGAATTTTTTTCCTCTTTTTTTTTTTTTGTTTTTTCTCCTGATAATTTATTTTTATATTTTTTATTATGAAATTAAGTGTGCAAATTTAAAAAATAGATCATTATTTTTTTATTTTTATGTATAGTCTGAAGTAATAAAATATATATGATATTTTTTATATTTTAGTTTGAATTTATCTATTAATCTTGTTATTTAAAATTTATTATTTTAATTGTTTGTTTAAGATTAAAATTCTCATCCAATTAAATTTTTTATTTTTTTATTTTTTTTGACAAAATAGATTTTGAAATAAAATTTTAGAACATTATTTTTAAAAAATATATATTATTATAATTTATACAATTGATTTTTTTATATTTTTAAATGAGAGTAGTATAGTTACATTTACAAATTCCGATGAAAGAGAGAGAGTTAAATATGTGTTTTAGATAATTTTACTTGATTTTTTTTAAAAAATTAATAATTAGTTAAAACAGAATTTGTAGATGTTATTTGCTTATATATATAGTTTTGTTAAAATTAATTATATGTCCGCACATATAATACCAATTAATTGTTATTAATTTTTTTCATGGTCTAAAATCTATATTTTTAAATAAAATAATTTAATTAATGTTTTGAAAGAATCTCTCAATTATTCAAATACATGTTTTTATGCTAATATTATAAATTATTTTGTTAATATATATATCAAATAATTTTGCTTTATATATAGATTCAATTTGTATTAATAATTATAAATAAAGCTTTTACTCACACTAAATCATACGAATCAATAATCTTGCTTATATGACGGTTGTCTAACCGTATCGTAATACGGGTATCTAACTAAGGAGGTGTTTGATAACCTAATTAGGTAGCTTAAAAAATTAGGTTGTACTACTTAATATAAAAATTTTGTTTGATAACTTAAATGCTCTCATATTAAAACTTTAAATTAAGTTAAAATCTACTTAATCAGATAAATTAAAATTTTTAACTTATCCGATTAAGTCAAACTATCTAAAACTCTCTCTCTCTCTCTCTCTCTCTCTCTCTCTCTCTCTCTCTCTCTCTCTCTCTCTCTCTCTCTATATATATATATATATATATATATATATATATATATATCAGAATTTATAAATTATAATAATATATTTTTAAAAAATAAAACATTGACGTTATAAAATTTTATTCCAAAATTCATATATTAAAAAATCAAATTTATTAACAAATAAAATTATATCAAAAATTAATTTGATGAGAATTTTAGTAAGAAAAAAATAATTAAAAAAAATAAATTTTAAACGAGTCTTATTATATTCGGATACATATGTTCAAACTAAAATCTTAAAAAATATAATATATATTCTATCATATTCAAACAGACCTTATTATATTCGATACTTAATTTTCAATAAATACCAAACGAACTTCTCAGGAACATATTTAGTACTTAATAGATTCAACACTTAAAATTCAATATTTAATAGATTCAACACTTAATTTTTCAGTTTAATCAAACATCACCTCATTGATTCTATAATGATTAGACTTTGGAAGTTGGTCACACGCGGATCAATCTCCCTGAACCTGTTTACTTTATTTTCAATAAATAACACCTTTTGGATTTGCTTTTTGACAACGTCCAGATCGCTTTTGATTTATGCCTGAATCTTTGAGTGGATCCAAGCGCTTAGGCTTTTCACTGATGGCATTCTTATTGCTATTGTTGTACCGGAGATGGCTGTTCAATTCCAACATGCGGGG